GTTTATTTGATTTATTTTATCATTAAAAAACTTTAAGAATTAAGACGAATCTAAACCAACAATTTCACTCAATGGCTGACCAGTGACCTGATTACAAAGGACTTTATTAATAACATTCCATAGATTTTTAGAAGGTCCACTATTATCTGTAACAAGTCTTTTTCAATAACTGTTTCTTTTTTTTGTGAAAAAAGCCTAGATTTATATTTCAGAGCTGCTATCCACTCATTTATATATATATATATATATATTGACAACTGTGTTGTTGTGCCTGGATATTTTGTTTTGCTGCAAAAGATCATAAATAGTTTGGTTTATTATTTTCACTGTTTGCCTGTAAAGCATTATGTCTAAAGATACACGTTTGACTACTAAAAGCATCAAAAATGGTGTTAATAGCGTTACATGCTGTTTTTGTGATTATGTTCCGCCTGCCGAAAGTGTACCTAAAGACGTTCTGCCTGCCATGAACAACTGTAGAAATCTCAGATACATTTTCGATGGTTGCCTCAGGTCTTTCGATGGTTTGAAAACATTGACCAAACCAATTCTGGATAAAAATGATGAAATAGAATTGGAAATTAAAAAGATTTCTGAACATACAACTGCGTTATGTAAAGATTTTTGCGAACTAAAGCAATTTGTAGTAGCAAATGGTGATAGGTTGAACCAGATCAACAGCGTCGACAATACGCTCGATAAATCATTTGACAATTTCAAGCAGCAGATGAATGAATCTTGGACTGGTATAGTCTAACAGGGTATCGATGCGGTTAAAAATGACGTCAAGGTTGTGCAGCGTACCCTCGAAGTGGTGAATACTATCAAAGAGAGAGAAAACAACGTCATTATTTTCAACTTAATTGAATCTAATAGAAAGGACAATGATTCAGTTTCTGCTATTTTGCGCTCTCTCACTGATAAGTCTATCAAGGATGATGATATTTTAAGAGTCACCAGACAAGGGAGGAAAATTGATGATTCCAAAACTCCACGTCCAGTTATTGTTAAATTCGCCAGTTTTGTCATCAAAAACAGAGTCATGCGTAGTATTTCGAAAATTAAGTCTCTCGAGGGTGAATTCAACAAAATCAAAATCAGTCATGATCTAACACGTGATCAGCGCGTTGAGCTGCGAGAATTGATTGCCGAAGCTAAAACTAAAGAAGCTAATGGTGGCCATTTTTTATACAGAGTGAGGGGCCAAGTGGGACGCTGGAAAATAGTAAAGCTTCAAAAAACTGCAATCATCTAGTATTAAATTTTGGTCTTCTTAATATAAGGTCTGTTATAGCAAAGTTTAATGTTGTTTATCAATTGTTATCTGGTGGATTGGACATTTTCCTTTTGTGTGAAACGTGGCATGGTTCTCCTGAAGATCCTTCTATTCAGTTGGCCATGCCGCCAGGTTTTAGTTTCTTGCAAGTGTTGAAGCCTCATGATCCTTACCATGGTGGTCTTATTGTTTTTTTCAAGAAGATGTTCAAGGCCAGGAAAATTGAAGTTCCGGTTTTTCAGACCTTCGAGGCTATTATAGTTGAATTTTCTTTTGAGCGTCGCAAAGTTTTTGTTTTTGGTATTTACAGACCAGGTTCAAAATTGGTCACATCTTTGTTTTTTGGTGAGCTGACATCGGTGTTGGAACATTTATTTGCATTGGGTGATGGTTTGATAGTGGCTGGGGATTTTAACATTCATATTGAAAGGCCTGGTGATACACACTCAATTAATCTGCTTGAAATATTTGATTCGTTTCAGTTAACAAACGTGGTTAATGAGCCTACTCATAACTTGGGTGGCACACTTGATTTAGTTGCGTCCACTCCTGATATTCCTTTGTCTAATTGTAGAGTGGATCCCAGTGGTGTTTATTCAGATCATGGTCTGATTAATGTTTCATTCTCGGTCAGTGTCAGGCTACCATTGACAACAAGGCGGTTGGTACGCTCTTGGAACCGTTTGGATACACATCGTTTTAAATCACTAATTTTAAACTCTCCAATCAGTGGTCCGTTTGATAATGATGATGCATTTGTGTTGTTTGATCGTGAGAGGAGGAGGGTTGTTGATGAAGTGGCTCCACTACACTATGTCAACTCTAAACATGTGCCATTAGCTCCTTGGTTCGACGGAGAGTGCAGGGATTTGAAAAGGCTATGTCGCAGATTAGAACGGGTTTATCGAAACAACCCAAGTGATAAAAATAAGAATATCTGGCGACAAGCTATTAAAGATAAATATTGCTTGTTTGTCAAAAAGAAAAATTGATATTGGAAAGACTTGGTAGAATCAAATAGCAACAAACCAAAATGTCTTTGAAATGCCGTTAACGGTTTGCTTGGAATGGAACAGGTAATGGATGTATCAGAAGTTGATCATAGTTCTCTTGACTTTTTCAAGTTTTTTAAAAGCAAAATTGATGATGTTCGTAATTCAACGAATCATTGTGATGAACCAACATTCACTCCATGTGATCTTGATGAAGAATCTTTTTTTTCAAACTTCTCGCTGTAATTAAACTCACTTTTATATAATCCAACATTATTTAATCTATAATAGCAGGTCGCACAACGTTAAAAAATGCGATAGCGCGCGCGCTCAACTTCACCGCGTTTTCCTGAAAGTGATTTAAT